AAAAAAGCCACTAAAGACCCCAACAATAAATTTAATAACCAGGTCAGGTTTTGCACCAGGTTCAATACTAAAGCCTTCGACATACAGCGAAGCATCCAAAAGCATTGGAAAATTCTTAAGCAGGACCCAGTTCTTGGTCAGAGCCTTGCCCCCAGACCCGAAATTGTGTTCAGGAAACCTAGGGATCTCAGGAGTCACATAGCACCCAGTAGAATTAAGAGGCCTCCTGCTGGTGCCAGGAATACGGTCAATCCTTGGTCTGCCCTGTTTGATCAAAGTGGCAGTTTCAAATGCGGTGTGAGCAATTGTGGAACCTGCAAATACATGTGCCACAGAAAGAAAGAGGTGGCTGCCACCAATGGCCGTACATATAAGATTAAGCAGTTCATCAACTGTGGTACTTCTTTTGTGATCTATGGGCTCATCTGTCCCTGTGGCCTCCTATATGTTGGCCGAACCATGCGCCCCTTGAGGGTCAGGTTTGGCGAACACAAATGTAACATCATTAATTACAAGGAGAGCAATAAAGGCAAAAACAAATATTCCGTACCACGGCACTTTCAGGAGGCACACAGTGGTGACCCATCGGGCATGAAAGTATTTGGGATTGAATCCATCACAGGAGATTCAGATGGTGGAAGAAAATTCCAAAGACTATGTAAGAGGGAGACCTATTGGATCTTCACTCTGGGTTCCCTCTCACCCACTGGGCTTAATGAAGATCTTGAGATACATGGGGTCATCCACTGACTCCCCGTTATGCATAGGCACCTTCTGCTGAGCTGCACATGTTCCCTAGAGTCCTACTCTCATCCTTTTTGTCTCTCTCCCAAACCCCCTCCTTTTTTTTTTTTTTTCTTTCTCTCCCCCCCTCTTTAGTGCTAGTTCCATCATTTCCCTTGTGACCTATAGTGGGTACACCATCCACTACAGATGTAATGCTTTAGATATATTCATTTTCATCAGCTATGATTACTATAGTATCATCAGTATAGCTACCATTACCCTGCATCCTTACACATTAGGTTGCTCACTTCATATTTATTGTGTCACCCTTAGGCGCTTGCGTATGACCGCATTCCCATGCGCTTGTGTCTATGGGTCATTCATTGGTCACCCATTTTTTAATTCAGTTTCCATATGTGTGTGTGGGTTTATGTGTGTATGTATAGACATGTTTTTTACTAAAAAGCAGTTGCTCATGTGGATGTGTTACACACACATGTGCGCACGCATGTTGTCCAGTGAGCTCTCTTCGAGCACTGCTTTCTTATCCAGCAAGTGCTTGTTCCATAGCGCCTTTGACATTTTTATATAGTTCTTATATATAACACATATATACATCTTTTGTACATTTTTTTTATATAATTATTTATTTTATTTTTATTTATTTATTTATTTTTTTTCCTATATATTTATATTTCTTATGCTTCCATGTCTATGCATGCACACATATACCATACACTATACCATTTTACCAGATATTATACTATATTGTAACAATACTTATTTAATTTTATTTTATTTAAACTTTGTGAGCCATATTAAGAAGTTGTTTGTAACTTTTTATATCAACATTTATGTTTTACTAGTGATTTATCTCCTTTGTTCTTGTATATAGTATTGCATATGCATATCCATCCATGGTGCACTACATTTGCCACACATACCTACGTTTCATCATATGACTATACTAGAATGATAAGCACACACCCTGTAGGCTGCATCTCTATGAATTAATAAGTGTCCCTGCTGGGTTTCAGATCTACTCTCTCTATATTAAATCCATGTCCCATGGTTGTCTATGGCAAGCAGAGCACTAGGCAGCTTCGTAGCGTTGCTCATCCATCCATTTATTTATTTAAAGGCGAGCAGTGCAGTGCATCACCAGGGAAGGATTTTTATTATTTTTTATATATGTGTAACTTTCCATTTATTATTTATTTTCCACTGTGCACACTTCTTATGGTTCATATGATTTTATGATTGTCACTAGTTTCAATGGTTTTATTTGTGCGTGTATATATATATATATGTGTATGTATTTTTTATAGACCTTTCGTGTTTACTTACATTATGTCGATTGCCCCTGTGACTCCTCCACCTGCACAGGGGAGTGTCCAGGACGGCCCATGTGACCTTTGGTTTAACTAGTAGTGAGCATATAAAAGAGGAGCAGACATTTGGTCAGTTGGCTCTGAGGAAGAGGCAAGTCCTCGAAACGCGTCAGCCTTTTGGATGTCTAAACTCCCTATTGTGGACTGTTACTCAGCGCGGTGTTGATCCAGCTGTTCTTCTATGATGTGCCTTGACTATATTGTCGTTTGTGAGTACAACACCTACTTTATTTTTTATTAAACATTTTTTATGGTAATGCACTAGGCCTGTGCGCCCTCTTTTTGTTCTTTCCCCATTCAGTAAAGGAGATTACCAGAGACTACGGACCTTTGGGGAGGGAGGGGGAGCGGGTACCTGAATTTGACAGGTACCCGCTCCCACTTCCGCAAATTTGTCCTTCCTTCCTTCTTCCCGCAGCAGCTTCTGTGACAGCCAGGTGTCCACTGCGCTTGCGTGAGAAGCCCCACGCTTTGTGAATGGCCTGGAGCCTTCTGGGACCTGTCATGTGTCCCAGAAGACACCGGACCATTCACAAAGCGTGGCGCTTCTTGCGCATGCGCAGTGGGCACCCGACAGTCACAGAAGCCGACGCGGGAAGACTGCAGCGCTGGAGCGAGGAACTGTAAGGTCCTCCAGGAGAGAAGAGCTGAGTGGCCGGCCCGATATTCTGAAATGGTGGCGGCAGAAATACCGGACCGGCCACTTTATATTCGCTCCATAAGACGCACTGACATTTTCCCCCCCTTTTTTGGGGGGAAAAAAGTGCGTCTTATGGAGCGAAAAATACGATACTTTACATTGTAGAAAAGTGTAATTTCTTCAGTGTTGTCACATGAAAAGATATAAAAAAATATTTACAAAAATGTGAGGGGTGTACTCACTTCTGTGAGATTCTGTGTATGTATATTTTATTATTATACAGTATTTATATAGTGCCATAGGGTTTGCTCAGTGCTGTACAATAGCAAGGGGGACAGAACATGAGACAAGACAGAAACAATAATACATACATTTTTTTTTTTTTTTTTTTTAAATGTTTACCCTTAATACTATTACAAGGGGCCTTACAAGACCAATGTGAAATGCTCATTATGGAGATTTAAAGGTCTATTAGGACACCAATGTTTTCCTTGCCCTCCACTGCAGTTAATCAGGCACAGATCATGCTTGAATAGCTGTTTCCCAATTACTCTTAGTGCTGATCACTTGTGGCTTCATACACTGCAGAGGAGATTAGAGAAAATATGTTCCCCCAATCTCCTCCCACCTGCCATGTTGAAGGCGTTTGTTGTCTTCCTGGGATCACAAGAAGAACTGGAGAATGCAGGAACCACAGAGGAATAAAGGGGGGAAGGAGGAGGCACACTGGCAGCATTGTAAAATTGATCAGGCAGCTATACAGCTGCCATGATCACTTTTACACTAAAGCCATGTGTCAGCTAAACAGAACAGCCATGAGCTTGTTGTGAACCCTTCAGACTTGGAACATACTATACGTATGCCCAGAGAGTTGAAGTATTTAAAATATCAATACAAATTAAACAGAATAAACTGTGTAAGAGGAATAATCTGAGCGGGAAAAGTAATGTGGCATGAACAAGGTTGCTAAAAACCGTTCAATGTGAAAAACAATCTTACACAATAGCAAGACTTTGCACCGCAGCAAGACATCAGGTGGCATTACAAATGTCTCTCACAGGCAGAATGTTTTTCTTGTATTGAGTTTGTCTGGGATTACATGAAGAGACAGATGCAAATACACAGCCTGAAACCACAGGAGAAGTGTAATTAGTTCTCCCAATTATTTGGAACACAATTCCTCATAAATTGAATAATAGCATGTATGACGTAGAGTCAGCTGATTCATGCAGTACTGCCTAAAGCTTATTGAAAAATCAATTTTAATGATAAAAAGCACGCAATTCATAGTAATTAACATACTGCATGCGTAATGCTTTTGTGAATTGAGCCTCTTAGAAAGACTAGCAAACGTGTCAAATTAATTCAATGAATAATCTGAAATGGGTCATGGTGGTATAACTCTGCACGACTTCTGCATCTTATATGAAGAGAATATACCATATAGACCGCTCATAAATGGTGTAAGACACAGAACAATTAATTATAGTCATAATAACCAATACACATCTATAAAATAAACTTTTGGTGCAGTCCCAGTATGTGCAAATAAAGTGTAAACGTGTGGAATCCTTGATAGTAAACTCCGTATTGAGGTGACAAGTGCTATACTGTGCTCAGACTGGTGCCCCACATGGATTTACACTCACCGTCATTCCATGACCACCTATCTCTAGGTAGGTCACTAGAGTTTTAATTGAGACTATCCCAAAATGCCACGTGTTGGTGCTCTTTCCCATATGTTCCATGATGTTGCTACTGGAAACTAGTGTATTATCACCGGGTCAAGTGGTAAGTGATAATCAGTAATCCTTCTCTGGGTCTAGTTTCATACTAACACTACTCCTCTCCTCCACAAGAAATGTATGTTGTCAGCATAAAAAAATTAAAAAAACAAACATCCCATAGTGTAAACTGTATACTTTAATATTGGGGATAAATAATTTGGAATAAAACTCACAAAAAAGTGCCTAACCCTCCACAGGATGACGATCTATTGGTCGAAATGTGTCGAGGTTTGATGATGTAATTTCTGCCGACGTCACTTCTTCCCTTTGGAACGCACGCTGGAACGAGGCGGCCATCTTTTTCTTCCAATACAAATCAACAGAGCTGAACACACTCAGTGCTGAGGGTTAGGCACTTTTTTAAGTTTTATTGCAAACTTTTTATCCCCAATATTAAAATATACAGTTTTACACTATGGGATGTTTATTTTTTAATTTTTTTACGCTGACAACATACTACATTGCTTTTGGATGAGAGGAGTAGTGCTAGTATCAAACTAGCCCCAGATAAGTATTACTGGTTATCACCACCAGGGGCGGACTGACAACTCATGGGGCCCCCGGGTAATAGGGGATCATGGGGCCCCTGTGTCCTTGCCCAAACTCAAAAAAGCCTATGAAAAAGGTACCAGGGGCATCTCATGGGGCCCCCTACTGACCCCCCAGGCAATAGGGGATCATGGGGCCCCTGTGTCCTTGCCTAAACTCAAAAAAGCCTATGAAAAAGGTACCAGGGGCATTTCATGGGGCCCTCTACAGACCCCGGGCCCTCGGGCAGTGCCCGAGTTTCCAAATGGTCAGTCCGCCCCTGCTTACCACATGACCCAGTGATAACACACTGGTTACCAGTAGAAATGTTGTGGAACATACGGGAAAGAGCACCAACATGTGGCATTTTGGGATAGTCCCAATTAAAGCGCTAGTGACCTACCTAGAGATAGGTGGCTGTGGAATGATGGTGAGTGTAACTCCATGTGGGGCACCAACCCGAGCACAGTATAGCACTTGTCACCTCAATATGGAGTTTACTATCAAGGATTCAGCACGTTTACACTTTATTTGCACATACTAGGACTGCACCAAAAGTTTATTTTATAGATGTGTATTGGTTGTTCTGATTTATAATTAACTGTTCTGTGTCTTACACCATTTATGTGCGGTCTATATGGTATATTTTGTAACTTTCGTGTATGTTCGTTCACAATTAGGACTGCATTACATGTTTTTTCTTGTACACGGGTTTTATTTCATAATCGCAGCAGCATCTTTTCAATTTTTTCCTATATGAAGAGAAGATAACCGAAGAAAAGCATCTAAGCTGGATTTCCCCACTCTGCACATTCCTGTTACACATACTGTATGCTGTGGATAGAATAAACCTAAATTACAATAAAATACATTTGATCTGTAGGAGATCCTGAAGCAGTTGCTGACCAGTCTACTGGTTGCTATGGCAACAGTGAAGGGAAGGCTGCAGGGCAGTAACAAATCCCCAGGTAGGCTCAGGTTGTTCAGAAATAAAGCAGAAGAATGTTTATGTTCCTTATTACCAGCACCAATGCCTATTAAATCTGGATAACAGTCTACAAATGACAGCAAATGATCTGATTGTACAATTTGTACAGAGAGATTTATACAGAAATCCTAAAAGTGTGCAAGTTCACGTATAATCATATATAAACATTAAAACTGAATGTAATTATGTAACGCACTAAATGAATAAGTTGGAAAGAGCTGCTTCACACCAGACACTTTCCAGTGTGTTTTTAAAATGCATCCGGAACACAGGTATAGTAATTGCCATGTATTTCAATGGCCCTAGTGCACACCACTGTGGTCAGTTTCAGTGCTTTCAACAAAAGTACATCCTGCTGCATTTGTTTTTCTTTTGGAACACGTCAACATATAACACGTATAAAAAAAGGAAAAAACACACTGGAATGCATTGAAAATGTGTCACAAACAAGTCTAAATGTGTATACAAAAACGCATCTAAAACGCTGAAATTGTGGTGTGAATACACTAAAGAGTTGCAAATTATTTTTATAAGATGTTTCCCATCAGGTAATTTGGAATGCTGTTATTAAAGCGGAGCTCCACCCAAAAGGGGAAGTTCTGCTTTAAAGATTGGTCCCTCGCTCCCCATTAAGGATTGGCACCTTGGGGGGCAGGGGGGAGCTGGTACCCGAATTTGCCAGGTACCCGCTCCCACTTCCGCTCCGATCGCCTAGGCAATCGGAAGTCCCTCCCTGTAGTCTTGTGGGATATGTGACAGGTCCCAGAAGACTACAGGACCATTCCGGAAGCACAGCACTACTCACGCATGCGCAGTGGGTACCTGGCTGTGAAGCAGCAAGAAGTCACAGCCGGGTGCCCACACTGAAGATGCCGGCGCCAGGGAGAGAAGATAGCCAGTAAAACTGGCTGCAGGGGACACACCACGGGACCGAGGGACAGGTGAGTGTGTTTTTTTTTAAAAGTCAGCAGCTACAGTTTTTGTAGCTACTGATTTATTTTTTGACAAAGTGAGTGGAACTCCGCTTTTAATATCTTTTGGATTTAAATTTATATGGTCTATCCTTAGCTATTTTGCTGAGCTGATTGTCAAGGTGTATGTGTTCACAAATGATCTGACAGATTCATAAAATTTGAGGTTATATAAAATATTGACTGCATCAGCAGGAAAATTTTTGCTAGTCCTAGGCAATTTTGACTCTGTCACCTTGGAAAAAAAAAGACTTGCACATGGCCATCATAATTTATTGATGTTTACTCAGGAACTTGTGATGCCCATGTGCAAAGGTCCAAAAACTGTGTGTAAAGACCTGAGTAATGTTGAGTATAAACGAGTAAAAGTGTGTAAGCATATAGATGAGAGTAAATGAGTAAAATTTGTCTTCATTGCCAGTATTGTAATATACTCATTTATAGTCACATATACATTAAATGAGTAAACACTCAAGTAAATTGCTCCACTCAAATGAAACATTTTTGATTTACTGCTCTGTACTCAACGCTGTATTACTGATCATTACTCTGCTGTGTGCATTGTCCCATAGACAACAATGCATCTCATTTCAAATCCGTAAAAAAATCATCATTTTTTACTCCCATGTGCAACAGGTCTGAAAGCTAAAATACTTTATTTTATACATATATAGGGATCTCCTTGCCTCTATTGTCTGTATGTGCAAATACCTGTGCTCTTAATATGCAGAGTAAGGACCCTTTCACACAGACCCATTTTTCAGACAGACCCAACTGGACCCTCCATTCTCCTTTATGGGCAGCTGGATGTAAATGGACTTGTGTTCGTTTACACCCAGCTACCTCTGATCTGGCAAAAATAAATGGAAGGGGAATCTGGTCCCCTCCTTCAGTCGGTCTATTTACATCCAATGGAGGAGAGGGGGCTGTGTCTGTGTCCACTCTGCATAAGCGGAGTGGACACAGACTGTTATCCAGTTGCTCTGCTCAGCTCAGCAGGGGATCAGCGGACAGATCCCATGCTGAACAAAACCAGATCTGGCCCATGTGAAAGAGGCCTTAAGCTGGATACACACCAGAAGCTCTTTTTGTTCAACCTAGTGGGCTGAAAAAAAACCCCCTGACAAATCGCCATACCAACACAAGCAATGTCAGTATGGCAATCTCTGCTGTGCCTTTTTGTTCTTGGTGAACCCCCTGCCTCGCTATTGGCTGCCAAGTCTGATCAGTTGCTGGTTGGATGCAGGATCTCCAGCTTGCCTGTTCGACAGAAGCCAGATTCTGTAGAACAGACAACCAGGGGCGGACTGACCATTTGGGCACTCGGGCACTGCCCGGGGGCCCGGGGTCAGTAGGGTGGCCCATGAGATGCCCCTGGCACCTTTTTATTTTTTTTTTGGGTGTGCTTTGAGTATGGGAAAGCACACAGGGGCCCCACGATCCCCTATTGCCCGGGGGCCCCATGAGTTGTCAGTCCGCCCCTGCAGACAACTCTGCACATGGGCCAAAAGCCAGACCGTTCTTGCCAAACCGACTGATTTCAGCTGATTTTCAGCCCATGTGTACAAGGTTTTAAAGCATGTCTAAAGGCTATTTTTTCGTTAAAATAATAAACATGTTATACCGTACTTACCTGCTCTGTGCTCTGGGGTTCTCCCATCAGTGCTCTATGTTCCTCCTTTTCTTCATGTACCACGTTAGCAAGCTCTGTGCTATGGGGGCACATGTACGATTGCACTCCATAACCAGGCTCCCACTGCTTTCAGTGAAGCCTGGGAGAACAGGGAGAGTGGAGAGAAGACCTGCAGCCCGGTACTGAGCTGTATTGATAGAAGGCTCAAGTAGGTGTTAAGGTAGGTGGGGTACTCAGCAAGTAGTAAAATACTTTTTACCTTAATGCAGGGAATACGTTAGGGTAAGAAAAGAGAGAGAGACTTTGACTAGGTGGATGCAGCATCAGTCCAATGCTGTATCTGTCCCCCCACTGGCTCTAAGGGTATGATCACTGAGTTCTCACAGCCACTCTGAGCTGGGTCAAGTGCCCCTCCAGACTCTGAGGTGGATCCTGACTTTGAAGTTAGGATCTTTCCCCAGCCTGGACCGGCTGAGTGACGTCAGTCAACTAAGGGCTTTAGCCCACTGTCAGCTGGAAACGGGTCACAGGAGTGCAGAATGAACTGCACTCCTTTGATCCACAGGACAAGTACAGCCAAATGAGCTTTGGTGCATGTGAAATCACGCACGTCAGATGTGCGAGGGTGTCATTCACAATTTATGGCACTGCTGTGTATCTGCTAAAGGGAAGCATGTTTCTGTGGTGTCAGGAAAGCAATTTTGCATGCATTCCCAACACACACAAATGTAAACATAGACTAAATGTCTCAATTATGTTAGTGGTTGGTGTATATCTTACATTGGGGCATGGTGTAGAATCCTTTCATTCACAATAATAGTCAGTGTGAGTAACCCCTTAAATTGGTGGTTAGTGTAAATCCCTCCTCACATTGGTGGTCACTGTGAATGTTCCTATTACATTAGTGGTAAGTGTAAATCCCCTTTACATTGGCGGCCATTGTAGAAATTCCTCTTTATATCGGTAGTCAGTAAAAAATCCTAACTTGCGTTTGTGGTCAGTGTTGAATCCTCTTTTACATTGGTGGTCCATGTAGAAGCCCCCCTTAAATTGGTGGTCAGTATACATTTCCCTTGACATTAGTGGCCTGTGTAGAAATGTGTTGGTTGCTGGTGTAAAATCCCCCATTACATTGGTTGTCAATGTAAATTTTTCATTACATTGGTTGTCTGTGCAAGTTCCCCATTACATTGGTGGTCAGTGTAAATTTCCCTTTACATTGGTGGTAAGTACAAAATTTCCCTTACATTGTTGGTCAGTGTAAATCCCCTCTTACATTGCTGGTTGATGTAGAAATGTCACCTCCCATCCCCATCCAGCATGGCCACTGATCTCCCCCACTCCAAGCACTGCCACTGATCCCATCCACCCACCAGCACTGTCACTCATCCCATCCCCCCAGCACTGACACATATACCATCCCCCCAGCACTGCCACTGATCCTTTCAACCCCCCAGCACTGCCACTGATCACACCCTCCCTTCAGCACTGCCACTGATTCCTGAAGTCCTAGAATCCCTAGTAGTTTTCTGTCTATTAGTAGGTCCCATCACCTTCCCAGTCCATGGTGTGCAGGCAGTGGGGAGATGATGTGCTGTAACCTTCAGCAACCAATCAGACGTAACTAAGTGCTGTAACCTCTAGCAACCAAGCAGTGAGTTGTAATGATGTGCTGTAACCTCTAGCAATCAATAAGTAAGTGGTAATGATTCACAGTAACCAATAGAAACCAATCAGTGCGCAGTAATAATGTGCTGAAAGCTCTAGCAACCAGTGAGCGGTAATGATGTGCAGTAACT